AACTATTCAGTGGGGACTCTTTCTTTCCCCACACACTCTCTTAAACTAAACTCCCTCTTGAAACCTTATAAGCCAGTCACTTCATGCCTTTATTGCCCCCTCATTTTAGGTAGCCAATGTCTAAGTTGCCCATCCCTATCTACCCTGTGTACTGAGGGGACAGCATTGATACTTGATGTGAAGACTCCTTCCCTCTCTGTTGGTATTTAGAGTTACTAGATGGCCAAACTTCGTCTCTCATACTTCAGACATATTGTTAGGAGGGACCAGTCACTAGAGAAGGATATCATATTTGGTAAGGTGGAGGGTCAGAGAAAAAGAGCACGACCCCCCAACGAGATGGATTGGCCAAGTGGCAGCATTGATGGACTCAAGCGTGGTAACAGTAGTGAAGTGTTGTGCATAAGGTTGCTATGAGTTGGTACCGACTCGATGGCACCTAACAACAACAACAACAACAACAACCTCCATGAGTATAAGTCAAGTCTATCAAATTGTAGAAATTTACTCTTGTCTCCTTTATCAAAAACTGTTTTGTTCTTTTTTTTTTTAATCTTCCTCTAGTTGAGCTCCAATCATCAAGCCATCGTGGCTAGGTCAAATGGGTACTAACTGCAACTTTGTGTATTCTTGTGTGTCTCCTCTCACTTCATATCAGCTGGATGCTTCACTCTCAGCTATAGCCTTTGTCCATGGGCTCAGGTGTCCCCAGGTCTCACCACACTTTGGACCAATCAGCCCTTCATCTTCTCTCTCTCATCTCCAGGTCAACGGGAGTCTGTGGAATGTGGTTGAAGTCAGCCCATTTCCTCACTTTTCCACTCACCAGTGGGCTAATGTGGTCGGCAGCAAGCTTACATGCCTGCTCATGTGTTCCCTTTGAGTTTCTGTCTTAGAGGGGGGTTTGTCCTGAAGGAACTTGATTGTTTGCCTTGATGTCCTCCCAGCAAATAAGAATAAGCAACTTGCTTATTCTTGTAGTAGCCAGTCATACTGCCATTTTTGTTTTGGGTTTTTCCTTGATGATATTTCTTTGAACCTGTATCTTCTGTCACTCTATTTGCTCCAGGCTGGTCTGCTTGTATTTTCTAGTGGAAATGTTCCACCTCAGAAGGTTCTGGATGGGGCTCAGGATTCCACCAAAGGTCCTATACACGGCAAAGACTCCTCAGGAGGCCTATTTCAGTGGGCAAGTCCTAGAACTCCTTTTAGGTATTCCAATCAGTTATAGGCTGAAGATAAGCTTACAAGCTTTCTGTTATCATGTTTCCCGACATTCTTTTTCATCCAACTCAAGTGTTTATTTTACAATAGTAGGCAATATCTTACAATATTCATAAGATAATCAAACATTTTAGTATTATTTCCCCTCTTCAAACTATGCCTTGATTCCTGTATCACAGAGTCCTGTTGTTCCAAGGTTGAGCATGCATCACTATTAACCTCTGTCCCATTTAGCCTATGCAAACCTGTCTCAGTGTTCCCCTATCTGCCTTGTTCTTCCATTCCCTCTCACTTCTTGTCTACTGCCCTACCCAACACCTGGACTATGATGTGTCTGCCCCTACCTTGTGCTCAACCATCACCTCCCTTCACCTCCCCCAAATCTCCCAACTCCAACCCCACCAGTAACCAACAAAGAAAAATATTTTTTTTTCATTTTAGTCTTATACAATATTTGTCCTTTTGTGACTGACTGATTTCACTCAGCATAATGTCCTCAAGGTTCATCCATGTTATGCGGTGGCTTGCAGCTTCCTTGTTATTCTTCAAGGTAGCATAGTATTCCATTGTGTGTATGTAGCACACTTTGTTTATCCGTTCTTCCATTGATGGGCACTTAGGCTGTCTCCATCTTTTTGCTGTTGTGAGTAGTACTGCTGTCAACATTGGTGTGCACGTATCTATTCGTTACAACTCGTATTTCTTGTGGATATATACCAAGTAGAGGAATTGCTGGATCATATGGTATTTCTATTTCCAACTTTCTGAGGAAGTGCCATACTGTTTTACAGAGTGTGTTGGACTGTTTTGCATTCCCACCAGCAATGTAGGAGGGTCCCAGTCTCTCCACATTCTCGCCAGCATTTATTATCCTTCACATTTTTTAACTTCACTGTTATTGCTGGTGTGAGATGATATTTCATTGTTGTTTTAATTTGCATCTCTACAATGGCTAATGGTTGTGAACATTTCTTCTTCTGTTTGTTGGCTGCCTGAATGTCTTCTTTGGTGAAGTGTCTGTTCGTGTCCCTGTGCCCATTTTTTAATTGGGTTACTTGTCTTTTTCTTGTAGCGGTGTTGTAATTCCCTATAGATTTTAGAAATAACTCCCTTGTCTGATATGTCATTGAAAAATATTTTTTCCCATTCTGTGGGCTCCCTTTTTACTCTTCTGGTGAAATCCTTCGATGCACATAAGTTTCTAATTTTTAGAACATCCCACTCATCTATCTTGTCTTCTTTTGTTTGTGTAATTTTCTCAGTGTTTCACAGTCTGTGTGTTCCCAGGATTTTGTTGTTGTTGTTAGGTGCCATCGAGTTGGTGCCAACTCATAGTGACATTATGCACAGCAGAACAATACACTGACTGATCCTGGGCCAACCTCACTATTGTTGCCACACTTGAGTCCATTGATTCTGCCACTTGGCCAATCCATCTTGCTAGGGGTCTTCCTCTTTTTCTCTGAACCTCCACCTTACCAAACATGATATCCCAGGATTGTTGTTGTTGTTAAGTGCCATCAAGTCGATTCCAACCCATAGCGACCCTGTATAGGGTTTCCAAGAAGCTAATGAGTTTAAACCACCAACCTTGCAGTTCAAATGACTTTCCAGTCTGACGCATTAGCCCACAGAGCCACACCAGGATTAGAGCCCTTAAATTTGTCCCTATTTTTTCATCGATGACCTTTATAATTCTGGGATTCACATTTAGGTCTTTAATTCATGTTGAGTTGGTCTTTGTATATGGCGTGAGGTAAAGGTCTTGTTTCAATCTTTTGCATATTGATTTCCAGTTCTGCCAGCACCATCTGTTGAAGAGACCATGTCTTCCCCACTCAATGTACTTTGGCCCTTTTCAAAGATCAGTTGGATGTATGTGGATGTGTTAATTTCTGGATTCTCAATTCTGTTCCATTGATCTATGTATCTTTCATTGTACCAGTACCATGCTGTTTTGACCACTGTGGCCATATAGTAAAATTTGAAATCGGGGAGTGAGAGGCCTTCTACTTTGCTCTTTTTCTTAAGCAGTCCTTTGTTTATCCTGGGTCTCTTTCCTTTCCATATAAAATTTGTAATTGTTTTTTCCATCTCTCTAAAGAATGTCATTGGAATCTGGATTTGGATTGAGTTATGTGTAGATTGCTTTGGGTAAGGTTTTCAGTGGCTAACATTAAAAAGTAGTCTACCTCTCCTTCTTCCTAGTCTATCTTAGTCTGTAAGCTTTGCTGAAACCTTGCCACATGGATGTCCTGGCTGGTATTTAAACTATGATAGCATAGCTTCCATAGTTATGGAATACATAAGCCAACAACACAGTACAATAAACAAACAAGTGGTGGATATCAATGTATTATCTTCTTTTTTCCAGCCTGGATGTTTGGAGACCCTCACATCACCACCTTCGATGGTGCAAACTATACCTTCAGTGGCCTAGGAGACTTCCTGCTGATCCGGGCCAAGAACAGAAATTCCTCCTTCCTTCTGCAGGGCCGCACTGCCCAGACTGGCATGGCCAAGGCCACCAACTTCATTGCCTTTGCTGCTCAGTACCACTCCATCAGGCTAGAACCTATCACAGTGAGTGAAGGAGCACCCACAACATCCCTGCACTACCCAAAGACAGCTCTCAGGGAACTTCAGTTGGAAATCAAGGTCCTGGAGAAAGGAGAGAACAGGAAGAGGAAAGGGAGAGAAAAAAGGGAAAGGAGAAGGAAGGGTACACTGTATTAATAATGTAGTAGCTTTGAGCACACCCTCTCTAGATAGCAGGGTTAGGATGGTGATTCCTTGTATTAGCTCTGTGACTTAGAAGAAATTACTTCTCAATGTCTCACATAAATAATATTACCTATCTCTCAGGGCTATTGTGAAGTTTAAATAAGATAATCAGAGAAATGTCTCATGCTAAACACTCTGTTGCTGTTGTTAAGTGCCATCGAGTTGATTCAGACTCATAGTGACCCTGTATAGAGTTTCCAAGGAGCAGCTAGGTGAGCTTGAACCGCTGACCTTGCAGTTCAAATGATTTTGCAGTCTGGTGCATTAACCCACAGTGCCACACCAGGACTCCAAACATTCAGTAGATGTTAGTAATCAGATCCTCATTGTCACATTCTGTCATTATCACACACTCATCTTCATCCAGGCTCAGGTTTTAGCCTCCTTTTAGGACTTCTGGACCCACCTATGGGTCAGACTTAGGCCTTCTCCAATTCCCTTCCAGGTTCAATGGCTTCTTGAGTCCAATGACAAAATCCACGTTCAGCTCAATAACAAGACTGTAACATTTGAGACCAACAATAAAGATGCAGATGGTAGGTTTGGATCAACAATCAGTCATCCTCTCCTGCTTTCCTGGGTTGGGGCTCAGTGGGCTGACCAGTGCCCTGGGAACTGTGTGTGTTGAAGTGTGGTGGTACCAGCATGGGGAACAGAGAAGAGGGGCTACAATCCCTGTCTTTCAGCATCTGTAACTGAGCAGTTCTTCGCCCTAGGAGCAGGGCATTAAATGTTCCTTTCTCATTTCTATCTTTCTTTCCAGTGTTGAGTCCTCTTCTTTTATAGTCCCCAGGAAGAAGGAGGTAGTGTGGGCCTGGGTGTGTCCTGCATGTTTGATTTAGGACCACTAGAGATGGCACCCTGAGGACATTCTAGAACTAGTGTCAGGGTTTCCTCTCTGCACTGACCTTGCAGGACAGCCAGGTCCTAGGCCTTCAGGATTCTTCTTCTCCTCTGCTGCTACTGCTTCTTCTCCTTTTTTTTGATAACAGCTTTATTGAAATATAGCTCACATACCATATACTTCACTTACTGAAAATAACAATTCAGTGGTTTTTTGTATACTGCATTCACAGATATGTGCATTCATCACTACAATTTTAGAACATTTTCCTCACCCTAGAAAGACACTCTGTATACTTTAGCTATCTCTCCCCAGCCCCCCTGCCTCTTCTTCCTCCTCTCCCCGACAAGACACCTATGGTTTATGCATCTTTCTCTCAATGTTCTAGGCCAAGAGATATTCAACACCACTGGAATCATATTAATCCACAACGGCTCCATGGTCTCAGCCAACTTTGACGGGACAGTGACCATCTCAGTGATAGCTGCCTCCAACATCCTCCATGCCTCTTCCAGCCTTCCAGAGGAGTATCAAAACCACACAGAGGGCCTCCTAGGTAAGAAGCAGGTCAGACCCTGCTTCTGAGGGAATGGCCAAAGCAGGTGCTCAGACCCCCACCTGGAGAGCAACTTCTTTGCTTGTTTGCCGGTGGAATTCTCAAGTTGGGTCCCTTTCATAGCCTACTTAGAGCTGACCCCATAAGGTACAGGGAAGGAAGAGGGGCTTCTCTCAACTATTTTGAGGTTCACTTCCTATCTTTCTCCTAAAACACCAGATTCCCAGCAGCCAAGTGAACATCTAAAATGGGCTGATGGCGGGGAGAGGGGAGATGGATAACTAGCCTTCCCCTTACTTGCCCCATATCTTTTCCTCTTTTCTCCTTGCTTTCCCACATTCCTTTGCTTCCTCCATTTCCTCCTTTATTTTCTTCCCCCCACCTCCTAAAGCAGGGGGGCTGGGTATACAGTCACAGACCTCTCCATAATCAGAGTAATGGCTCATGCTTGCGGGACTGAACCAAGAGCAGCTGAAACAGACAGAGGCATCCCAGACCTCCTCCTATCCCTCCTTAAATCTTGAGTATGACCTCTTGGGTTCTCCCAAGAAAGAGGAGAGCCACAAACCCAAGGTGACCAACCTCCCACTCTGTCTCTCAGGTGTCTGGAATGACAATCCGAATGATGATTTCAAGATGTCCAATGGCACCACCCTTCCCCTAGAGAGCTCTGAAGAGATGATTTTTCACTATGGAATGACCTGTAAGTCTAGACCTAAGTCTTCAGGGCAGATGGGGCAGAGGAAGGTCATGTGTCCCCCAAGAGAAGGGAGAGATGCTTCCTTCAAGCCTATAAGGCACCACCTCTGTAAGGGTCAAAAGGCCAGGATGAGACTGAGGAATGTGGTGCCACCCCAGATTTGTCCTTCTGAAGCCCCGTCCTACCTGCATCTCTCTACTTGGGAGAAAAGATGAAGAAAATGGGTGACCCTTCACTCACTGGACCAGAAGCTGAGAGCCAGTCTGTTCCTCCACCCCTCCCTCCCACTGCCCCATCATATAAAGTGAAGGTAGTGGGTAGAAACAGAAAAAATACAACTAGAGCCCTACCCCAGGTATCATTACCATCATGCCTCATGTGTTATAGGGGAAATCAATGGAACAAGTCTCCTTGGAAACAGGAATGACCAGCTGCCTTCCAACTTCACCCCTATCTTCTTTAAACAACTGAGCAATACTTCTTTGGATCAAAACTTGATCTCCCATTGTAATGAAGATACACAATGCATCTTCGACACTCTGGCCACACGCAACATGACTACTGGACAGCACACTAAGATGCTCTTTAGAAGATTCCAGGAGATTAACGCAACTCTCAGTAAGTGGCATGAAACTCAGAGACGTGTTTCCAGAGTTATGTAGCAAATTAGGAGCTCCACTTCCTTGATATTCCTTTTTTTCCCATTCATTTAACAGCTTCTTTTGCTCTTGTTAGTCCTCTGCTCAGACTCTTCCAGTGACTCCTCAGCTGACTTAGTCTTTGTGATGACTTTCAAGGTTCAGAATTCAAGCTTCTGCCCACTGCTTTCTGGACTTTTCTGCACCTCCTCACTGTTTTCACTTCTTTCTAGTTTCATTGGCTGCCTTGCCATTCTTCAGACATGGCAGGTTTACTCTCAACTCCAAACTTTGCATCTGCTGTTCTCTTTGCCAGGAATGCTCTTCCTTCAGAGAACCAAAGGTTCACTTGTTCACCTTCTTCAAGTCTTTATTTAAATGTTATCTTCTTAGTGAGGACTATTTTGGCTACCCGTGCTAAAATTTCACTCTCATTCACACTTTCTATTCACCTTCCTGCTTTATTTGTTCTCCTTAGCATTTGTCCTGGTGTGGTGCTGTAGGATCAGTATTGGACTGTGAACCACAAGGTTGCTATGAGTTGGAACTGACTTGATGGCACTTAACAACAACATTTTTACATGTATCTTTTTCTATCCTTCCTCACTCCCCTAAGACTCCCCTAAGACTATAAGCTCCACAAGAGCAGATATTTTTGTCTATTTTGTTCACTGATATATCATCGTTCCCTAGATCAGTGCCAACCACATAGTAGATGCTCAATAAATATTTGTTTAGCAATGAATGAATGAATAAACAATGAAATGGAAATTTCATTGGTTCCACAGTACAGAGTGTAGCTCTGTGGGTTAATGTGCTGGACTGCAAAGTCAGTTTGAGCCACAAGGTCAGTGGTTCAAACTCACCAGCCGCTCCTCAGAAACCCTACACTGGGTCATTGTGAGTCAGAACCAGCTCAGCGGTACTTAACAACAACAACCCAGTACAGAAACCAGTGAAAAACAGTTTACTCCCTCTTTATTTCCTGGTAAATGCAATATTACTTATCTAGATATTCCTTTCATGGTTTTCAGTCCTCTTCCAAAGGTAAGACTATGTGAATGCCTGAACAACCCTGCTGTCTGACTCAGTTTATGCCATGTCCAACATAGTCCAGGAAAGAACCTGAATTGTTGGAGTTATTGTTGTTGTTAGGTGCTGTTGAGTCAGTTCCAACTCACAGAGATGCTAAGGACTTAGCCATTGGACAATTCAATCCCAACCTGCCCTGTTAGGCATGAGAGCAGGTACAAAAAATAAATCCTGCTCCCTGTGATGGGTCACAGTCCTGGAAATGCTTCACACTGACTGGAGGCCTAGAGAAAGAGAAAGGAAGCTGGTAAGAATGAGAATATTCTACCTCAGACTCCAAGTTGTCTCTTTGTGTTTCAGATCAGTACCCTCCCTCAATCGAGGGTGAGCCAATGCTTACAGCCTACAAAGGGCAGACTAAGCTGTTTCAGTACTCTAGCAAGTCTGAGAACACCACATTCTCACTCAGAAACAACTCTACTGATTTCACACTCTTAGGTAAGAATGTTTGGCTGGGGAAGGAGGGGATGCGGTCAGTCAAGTTTTGGGCAATTTTATATCTATATCACTTGTGAAATTACTATCACTTACATTTGATATATGGGGCCAGCATTTCTTAGGAATGTTACGTATAATTCAAGTTGATACATCCCAGTGAATAGTAGTGAAGGATTTGTGGCAATTTGGTCAACTAGTTAGACTGACTGTAGATATATAACTAATTCAAGAAGCATTTAATCTTATTATAATAGTAGGGTCTTTATGTGATAGCCATATAATCAGAATAATCAAATGCAACAATAAACAAATACTCATTTTTAAACACTTTCATTTTTAAAGAATATAATGTGGACCAATATTTAAAGAAATACAAATGCCTTTGATATTTTCATTACTATTTTTGTGTGTTTGTTAACCATGCTTACCTAGCTTTGTCTCTCCTTGTTTGATTTTCTGTGCTGGGATCAAGCAAAGTTTCACTCCTCCTTCTCAGTAATGGTGTCAGTGGTCCCCAGGCCTGCACCTATGATCTAGGCCAAAGGGTGACGCTTTCCTTCTGTTGCCAGCACCAATTATCCTAGGTTCTCTGAGAAACTAAAGCCCTTTGATAAGCTTCTGAGTTCTGAACAACTCTCTGCCTCTATTTCTTTCTCTGTGCACAAGCAGAGATTGTCTGCATCCCTTTTGCTCCATGTGTCATCCTCTCAGATGAAAGATAGATGATTTTTCTTTTTTTTCTCTAGTAGATTCCTTTCCAGAAGAGTGAAGGCTAGAAGTTATTCTCATCTATTTCCTACTATCAGCTCCTTTCAACCTACTGTTTTAAGGAGGAGCCTTTCTTATTTTCTTGACATACAGCAAACAGATTTGACTAGAAGAGCATGCATATATGAGGGGGATTCAAAAAGTTCATGGAAAAATTCCATTATCTTTTAATTTCATTTTTCCACAACTTTTTGAAGCCCCCTCATGTATGTGAGTGTGTGGGTCCTGGTGTGGTGCTGTGGGTTAATGTGCTGGACTGCCAGGTCTGTTTGAAACACAAGGTCAGAGGTTCAAGCTCACCAGACATTCCTTGGAAATCCTATGCAGGTCACTATAAGTCAGAACCAATTTGATAGCACTTAACAAAAACAACAACAACATATATAGTATAGTGGGTCATGCATTGGGTTGCTAATCACAAGGCCAGCAGTGTGCATCCACCTCCATTCTATGGAAGAAAGATGAGGATTTCTACTCCCATAAAGATTTATAACCTTGAAAATCCTATACAGGATCACTATGAGTCAGGACCAACTCAACGGCACACCACATCACTTGTAAGTTTTTATTGTGAATTGAGTGATAGTTTACATAGGAGAACATCAGTTTTACATTCAGCTATCGTATTTCGTTTCATTGTAATGACTACAATCCCCTCCATGCATCATCAGTCAACAGTACCTGCCTCTATTCCCTCTAGTTTTTTTGTTTTTGTTTTTTTCTGATATACACCAAAACACTCAGGAATATACAGTCATCCAAACAACCAAAGGACACACTCAGCAAGCCTGCTCCCTGGCTGTCAGCACACAGCCCCCTCCCCTCTCATGAATCTAGAGTCCTCAGCTGCTCCATATCTCCATGTCATCATCTCTGCCTCCATCCCTGGCACTGCTGCTTCTCTGGATAGGAGCCCACATTCTACTCCTGCTCTTCTCCCTTGATGGTCCTAGGGTCCTCTGTTCTGGAATGTAAGACTAACTACTTCCCCCTTTTGCCAAAAAATTTATATATTTACAGTTGTGACACTCGCAATTAATCATGATGACAATTACTCACCATTGAGTCATAAGAATTTTAACCTCATCTCCTTTCACCAGACCCTTCTAGACATGATGAAAACTATTCAGTGGGGATTCTACCTTCCCCTGTACACTCTGAAACTAAATTCCCTCTTGAAATCTTGTAAGCCAGTCACTTTGTGCCTTTACAGCTCCCCCATTTTAGGTAGCCAATGTTTAAGTTGTCAATCCCTATAAACCCTGTGTACAGAGGGGATGGGAATGATCTTTGCTGTGATCAATACTTTCCCTCTTGGTTGGTATTTTAAGCTACTACATACAAAAGTGTAAGTCAATTTCATTAAATTATAGCTATTTACACTTATTTTCTTTATCAAAAAATATTTTTTTTATCTTCCTCTAGTCAAGTTCTGATCACCTAGCCATCAAAGCTAGGTTAAATAGGTACTTTCTGCAAGTTTGGAGATTCTTGTGCATCTCCCCTCACTTCATATCAGCTGGACACGTCACTGTCAACTCTAGCCCTCTGTGGCTATGTCCTTCTCCGTGGGCTCAGGAGTCCCCATGTCTCACCATACTTTGGACTAACCAGATCTCACCATACTTCAGGTTAATGGGAGTCTATGTATCATGATCGGACTCAGCCCACATCATCATTGCTGCTTTTCCCCCACTTCCACTCACCAGTAGACCAACATGGTCGCCAGCATGCTTACATGCCTGCTCATGTGTTCCCTTTGAGTTTCAGTCTTGGAAGAGGGTTTGTCCTGAAGGCACTTGATTGCTTGCCTTGATGACTCCCCAGTGAACTACTTGCTTCTTCTTATGGTAGCCAATCAAACTGCTGTTTTTGTTTGAGATTTTTCCTTGCTGGTCTTTCTTTCAAGAAGTATCTTCTGTTCCTCTAGCTGCTCCAGGCTGGTCTGCTTGTCTTTTCAAGCGAGAATTTCCCACCTCAGAAGGTTCTGGATGGGGATCAGCATTCCACCTAAGATCTTATACCCTACAAAAGCCGTGCAAGAAGTCTCTTTCACTGGGCATGTTCTAGCACACCTCTTATGTATTCCAGTCAGTTATAGGCTGAAGATAGCCTTACAAGCTTTCTATTATCATGCTTCTGGATATTCCTTTCTATTCCCCTCAAGTGTCTATTTAACAATAGTAAGCAAGGGAAACCAATATTCATAAGACAGTCAAGCATCTTAACATTGCTGTTGTTGTGTTGTTAAATGCCATCGAGTCAATTCCAACCCATAGTGACCCTGTATAGGGTTTCCAAGGAGCAGCCGGTGAGGTTAAACCACTGACCTTGCAGTTCAAATGACTTTGCAGTCTGATGTATTCGCCCACAGCGCCACACCAGGACTCCATTATTTCCCCTCTTTTACCCATTCAGACTATGCCTCAGTCCCTATATCACAGAGCCCTGTTGTTCCAAGGTTGTCCCATTTAGCCCATGCAAACCTGTCTCAGTGTTCCCCTACCTGTTCTTCCATCCCCCTCCCCCTTCTTTTATATTATCCTCCCAACACTCAAACTATGATGTGTCTATTCCCCACCCTATGATCCACCATCCCCTCCCTACCCTCCCCATCCGCCCACCCCACCTCCAGTAACAAACACACTTTTTTTTTTTTTCCTTTTAGTGTGGGTATCTTTTCTTAAGCTTTTACAATAATGGTCTTATACAATAGTTGTCCTTTTGTGACTGACTAATTTCACTCAGCATAATGTCTTCAAGGTTCATCCATGTTATGTGGTGGCTTACAGCTTCCTTGTTATTCTTCAAAGTAGCATAATATTCCATTGTGTGGTAGAATTTGTTTTTAATGTCATGTGACATTAATCATCTCAGCACGAGCAGTTCATCTCTCTAGTAAATTTTGTATGACAACAAAAAGTGATATCTTGCTTTTATCATGTATTTTTCATTGTGTTTAGTGCACTACTGTAAATAACACTATGGGACCCATATGAAGGGCCACTGGTGATGTTGGAAGTGTTCCAAGAAACAGATAAAAGTCATATTACAAGAAAAATAGTGTAATTGCCTAATATGTACCGTAGTTTGCGTTCTGCAACTGTAGTTGCCCACCATTTCAAGACAAATGAGTCCAGCATAAGAACAACCGTTTAAAAAGAAAGGAAAATTCATGAATCTGTCACTACAACTACATCTGTGTGTGCTTCATTATCTAGAGAAGCAAAACCAATGAAATATATATGTGTGTGTGTGTGTGTGTGTGTGTGTGTGGGTGGGTGGGTGGGTGTTGGTGTTGTGCCCTTGAGTCAGTTCTGACTCAGTGACCCTGTACAGAATTTTCAAGGATTAAATCTTCAAGGGAGCAGAAAGAATCATTTTTCTTCCTTGGAGCAGCTACCAGCTTGCACTTCAGCCCCTGTGGTCCATAGTCCAGTGTTTATCATATGGAGTCACCATGCTCCCATACCCAGTGTGTTGTTGTTATGTGCCGTGGAGTCGGTTCCAACTCATAGCAACCCTGTACAGGGTTTCTGAGGCTGTAAATCTTTACGGGAGAAGAAAGCCCCATCTTTTCCTCACGGGAACAGCTGGTAGTTTAGAACTACTGACTTTGTGTTTCGCAGCCCAATTCGTAACCACTACGCTACTAGAACTCCTTATATCCAGTGTAGTGGAATTAAAATAATACAGCTCTTGAAACAAACCCCTTGTACCTTCATGTCAAATTATGAAGTATGACTAGCTATAGGACTCTATAGGCGTTGTCTTTATACTGAACACTATAAGGAGTACTGGTGTGGCTCCTTAGGATAAGCACTGAACCTAAAGATCAGTTTGAACTGCAAGAAAAGAGGGAGAAGATGCAAATAACACACATAAGAAATGATATGGGGAATGTCACAACAGAACCAATGACTCATATAAATAAATAAATAAAAAGGGTAATAACAGAATACGATGAAGAGTCCTGGTGTAGCACTGCAGGGTAATGCACTGGACCACAAGGTCTGTTTGAACTGTAAGGTGAGCAGTTCAAACTCACCAGCCGATCTTTGAAAACCCTATAAAGGATCACTTTATAGTGACTTGATGAATGACTTGATGACACTTAACAGCAACAAATGAAGAGTTGTACTCCAATACATTTGAAAATCAGAAGAAATAGATAAATTGTTAGAAAAATACAACCTACCTAAACTAACACAGAGTGAAATAGAAAACTTTAACAGATCTACAACAAAAGAAGAAGTTGATTAGTCATTAAAAAGATCCCAGTAAAAAAAGTCCAGACCCAGATGGTTTAACTGGTGAATTTTACCAAACATTCAGAGTTCTGATACCAATTTTATTCAAACCATTCCAGAACATAGAAAGGGGTGGAAAACTCCAAATTTTATGAAGCAAGCATAAGCCAGGCAAGATATCACTAAAAAAAGAAAATTATAGACCTCATTAACATAGATGCAAAAATTCTCAACAAAATCCCAACCAATAGAATTCAACAACAACAACAACAACAACAAATAAATAAATAAACATCATGATCAAGTGGGATTCATACTAGGGATGCAAAGATGGTTCAATATTAGAAAATAAGCAATGTAATCCACCATATAAATAAGAAAAGGAAAAGAACCACATGATCATATCAATTAATGCAGAAAAGGTATTTGACAAAATCCAACACCCATCCTTGGTAAAAACACTCAACAAAGTAGGAGTTGAAGGGAAAGTCCTCAACATAATTAAAAGTGCACATACAAATCCAATAGTTAACGTTACTCTCAATGGGGGAGAAATTGAAAGCATTCCCTTTGAGAAAGAACCAGACAAGGATGCCCTTTATCACCAATCCTATTTAGTATTGTGTTGGAAGTCTTATTTGAGCTATAAGGCAAGAAATGTGTGGCGGTGTAGGATGAGCACTAGACCACGAAGTCAGTTTGAACCACAAGGCCAACAGTTCAAACTCACCAGCAGCTTCTTGGAAACCCTGTACAGGGTCACTATGAGTTGCAACCAATTCGATGGCACTTAACAAGAACAAAACAACAATAGGGGATAGAGGTAAATAGTGATATATACACAAACTTGAAACAACAGTGTTCTGTGTATAGATACATAGATTGAGACATAGGCTAAGCATAAGGATAAGGAAGGAAGAGTGAGTTGAATCCTGGTGTGGCACCGTGGGTTAATGTGCTGGACTGCAAAGTCAGTTTGAACCTTAAGGTTGGTGGTTCAAGTCCACCAGTTGCACCTCGGGAACCCTGTACAGGGTCCCTATGGGTTGGAACCGACTCGATGGCAATGTTGTTGTTGATAAGTGCCGTCGAGTTGGTTGCGACCCTGTACAGGGTTTCTGAGGCTGTAAATCTTTACAGGAACAGAGCACCTCATCTTTCTCCCATGGAACAGCTGGTAGTTTCGAACTGCTGACCTTGTGGTTCGCAGCCCTATTCGTAACCACTACGCTACCAGAGCTCCTTGTGGTGGAGCATACAGTTAGCTAAATGATAAGAACTTCCTAGATATTATCAAACATCTTAAGGCAATGAGTTAGTGATCCTGGGAGCTCAGGACCATAGTCTCAAGGGACACCATGGTCAGTTGGCATAACATAGTCCACAAAGACAATGTTCTACATCCTACTTGTGTGAGTAGCATCTAGGATTTTGAAAGCTCATGAGCGGCCATCTAATGTGCAGCTATTGGTCTCTCCATGTGCAGAGGAAAGAAGAAGGATAAGACTTGAGGAGACTTGGAGTCAATTAGTCCAATGGACTAATGAATACGTGAACATCAGTCTCCAGAACTCTGAGACTAAAAGGAATGGATGGTACCCAGCTACCACTACTTACTACCCTCAAAATGATCATATTAGAGAATCCCGATAGGGTGGGAGAAAGGTGGAACAAAGCCCAAAATTACTTAATAATAGTAATAATAAAAGACTGGGTTTACTGACCATAAAGGGACTGGAGGAACCAGAGACTATGGCCCTAGATCATCCTTCTGGTCTGGAAAAGAACTCACCCTTGTGGCCCAGTTTTCAGCCAAGCAGTAGAAAGCTTTCTAAGGGTGAACAACACTAGTAAGGTATGCTCACTATGGAATATTCAATCATTCAATATCAAAAGGCAATATATGCCTAAGGACAAAGTTGAGAAGGGATAGGAAGGTGGGTGGAATGCAAATAGGAACCACAGGGAGGAAGCAGGATAGCTGCTGTTGCATGAAGGGGAGTGTAATCATTGAGATGAAACAGAGTGTGTGATTTGTTGAAGGTAAAAGCTGATGATCTTGTCACTCAAGTCACAATAAAAAATTTTTTCAAAAAAGACCAGCAGGTAATAGAGTGGACCACTGACTCATGTCCAAAGAACCAGAAGTCAGAGGATGAGCCAGATGCAAGATCCAGTCCCAGCAGAAAGCAAGCAACCTTTTACTTGAGTGTCTGATATGTTGAAAGCAGACCACACCCCTGAGGAAGCTTCATTTCAATTGATTGGCTGCTCAGAGCAGATCTCATCATGAGGAATTACTACATCTTCACTGCCAAACCACTGAGAATCCTGGCCCAGTCAAGTGGACACAAAACCTCAATAATCACAACCTGTAAACACAAAAACCTTGCACGTTTTACAAAATACTTTTGTTTTTAAAGTTTTTATTGTGAATTGAGTAAAGGTTTACAATAAGATCATCAGATTTATATTCAACAAATCATACACTTTGTTTTATCTCCATATTTACAATTCCCTCTATGCAATAACAATTATCCTGCCTCCTCCCTGTGGTTCCTATTGCATTCCACCCACCTTCTTAACCCTTCTCAACTTTGTTCTTAGAAAAAATGTTCCCCTTTTGATTTTGAATGATTGACCACTTGATGAAATTTGGGAGGTGGTTTAGGAAGGGAGGTGGTTTTGTGTGGGGAAAAGTCCAGCGTCAGCAATCAGGGCATTAAATATCATAAAACCGCCCCAGATGTGTCAACAGCAAACAGAGAGGTCTTCAGGGTCTCAATGATCTTTTCTTCCCTGGGACAGAGAATGGAACATTGCTATGGACACCAAATTCACTGGAACCATTCACTCTGGAGATTCTAGCAAAAAATGTCAAGAATGGCTTGTCATCTGAGCTCCAGCCTACCACTGTGGCCTGCTTTTGCAGTGCAGAAAGCCAGTGTTTATACAACATGACCAGCCGGGTGGGCAATTCTTCCCTTGAGGTGAGTGTTGGGAGAAGGATGGGAGAGTGATTTCAGAGTAGGAAGAGAAAAACAAAACAAAAAAACAACAGATTAAAATCAATATATTATTCCCAAAATATGAGGGAGCTTCAAAAAATTGGTTGAAACATTACATTATGTTTTAATTTAATTTTTCCATGAACTTTATTGAAGTCCCTTAGTATGCACTTTTAGAAGTAGAAATCTGAGTTGTGGAAGGTTGCATTTTAGGGGCAAGAAAGATCATTGAAGGGCTGTTGAAAGTCAGCCTCTCTGGGTGATGCACACATTGGAGGAGAGCCTCGGCAGGTGAGTAGAACAGTTAGCAAGTTCAGGCCACAAGTTAACATGTGTAAGAAATGTAACTTTCTTTATCTTATAGCTCAATCTTATTATTTTTTGTAATCTCCAAGCTTCTATTCTGTCAAGCTGGCAGGAAACTACTACCTCAAACTTTCTTAGAGTTCCCCAGTGGTTCCCAGTCTCACCATTCTGAGATCCAACGGAGCATACAGCACTGAAGTGCAGGGCAGGAAGGTGTCCATGTGTTTCCATCACCAGTGACCTAGGTGTGCCTGTTGCTCCTGAACTTGGTACCTGTTCCTCAGACATGGGAAACCTTTTCTAGGCTGCTTCAGGTTCCATCTGCCAAGGATGACCACGCTGCCGTTTCTCATTGGGGCCTGATCATTAAGGTGTCAGGAAAAGAGGTGCAGGTCCACTTTGACCTTGGGACTCCAAAACTCCTCTATGAGCCCTTTTCTCTTCCCCTTCAGTTTGGAAGAAATCCTTCCCATTCAAGTTTCTAAGTAAGACACTTGACCTAAATCCAAGAATCTTGTCTCACCTGCTTTTTATGGCTATAAAGTGGGAGCCAGGAAGGAAAGTGTTTGGAAAAACACTTCCTCCCCCCTTGCATTCTTTATACACATGTGCATATGCGTGCATGCACACACACACACACACTTTACCTGAAGCATGAACAGAGAATTGCTACTTGAAAGTGGTAGAGGTGAAGGAAGCCATGGAACAGAAAAGGAAAAAAATACAGAGTAGGGAAAACAGAAATTTAAACCAATATCTTATTCCAGAGACCCCCAAATATTCATTTTTGGAAGTAGAAATCTGAGTACTAGAGGGTTCCCTTTTAGGAAGATTTCCAGAGTCAGCTCAGTAGGAGAATCCAAAAAGAGAGATCAGGGAATGTGATGAGATTTCGGGAATCATTTACCTTCCCAGTGTCGAAATTTTAGTTACTGCCTCTTCTTCATTGTGCTTATCAATGAGGCTCTGGCTCCTTGGTTGAGAGTCAGCAGGGGGAAATGGGGTGAGAAAGCCACCACTTATGTGGGATCCAGTGTTCTGGAGATCATGGAATATGTAAGTAGGTATGAATGGACTCCTGGTGTGTTGCTGTAAGATCAGCACTGAACTGCAAACCACAAGATCAGCAGTTCAAACCCACCAACTACTCCTCAGAAACCCTTTACAGAGTGGCACTTAACATCAATGAATGTAGACCCTATCTTAATCTAGACAGGATTTTAGGCAAAAAGATCTGGTGTGAGTGGTTGTTCTGAAAGGAGGAAAAAAAAGACAAGTGAACTTCTGGTACCTGGGCCAGGCAGAGGGCAAAGACCAAAGAATGGCCCAGGGAGGCTGAAAGGTAGAGCAGTATGTGTCCTTTGATGCTGAGACTTGCAGGCTCACAGTCTGGTCAAAGAAAGTGCTCAGAAGATGTTGACTGAGCTAAGACAAGAACTCAGGTTTCGTGGGTTCTCAAACCAGATGAGTATGTGTTAGTATTGGGATATCCAGTAGCTCTTACTGGCTCAGGCTCCTGGTTGCCCTAGTGACCAGCTCCCCATTCCAGGTAGCAAACTGTAAGTGTGATGGGGACATCTTTGGTCACCGATGTGAACGCTCCAGAGACCCTTGTGAAGAGTGCTTCCCGAATGTAAACTGTACTCCTGGGAAGGGCTGTGAGGCCTGCCCCCCGCACCTGACTGGGGATGGACGTCACTGTGCAGGTGAGCTATGGCCAGGTCCTGGTGAAATGGGGTTCTGGGGACTGTGGTATCTCAAGGCCCCAGGGAAACCAAAGGCAAATGCTTTCCCAATATATCTTTAGAATATTCAGTATAGGTGGATGGTTAAGGAAGGCTTGAAAAGGGTGGCAAAAGGTATGGGGCTGAGGCAGAAAAGGTTGTATAGGCATGGGTGAGGTGCCAGGGCAGAGCCCCCTCTAAGGTATTGATGGGGAACCCAGTGCAAAAGATGGAAAAGGGGCTAGACCAGGAGGAGGAAGGTGATGTCCAATACTGAAACAGAGGCAAGCTGGGTCCTCAGTCTTTTCAGGGTCTCCACATCTCAGAAGTCAGGAAAGGCTGCTATGAGGATTGGGTCGCAAGAATGCTGTAATTTTTCTTTGCGTTCTCCTCTCAGCTTCTGTTCCTCACCTTTAAGCCTGATGCTGAACCTTCTACTAAGCCCTCTTAGATGCCCAAGTAGAATCTAGAGACTGTCTTCTGAACAGTGTAGGGTGGGTCGAATCATAGCTATCCGAGCAGAAAAGGAGGTGAAAGTGAGGGAGTGAGGAAAACAGGTTGGTGGGTCCTTCTCCCAACAAACTTCTGGGTCCTTGCCTGATGCAGAACTTCTGATAAACACTTCATTCCCTCTGTAGACTGGAAGACAAAACCTAGTTGGCAGAGGAAAAGGGGTTCCCAATCAGAGAAATGCCTGGAGAAAGAGAGAAGGATAATTTGGGGCTCCTTGTGACCCATAAGCAGAATACAGATTGAGTGGGTGTTCCGGAAAGAAGCTGAGTCTTTCAAGGAAGCAGGTTTCCATGGACTGAGGGCTCCATTCCCTCCTGCTGCCATGATGTTGCTAACCTCCTTGCTCCCTCTGCAGCTCTGGAGAACTCTTTCCTCTGTGAGAACAAGTCCTGCCCTGTCAATTACTGCTACAACCATGGTCACTGCTACATCTCCCCGACTCCAGACTGCCAGCCCACCTGCACATGCCCCCCAGCCTTCACCGACACCCGTTGCTTCCTGGCTGGAAACAATTTCACCCCCTCTGTCAGTTCAGGTACAACCAGATGCTCCTCCTTTTCCATCTCCACACCTCCCTCATCTTTGGGGAAATAGGAAACTTATGCGTCCACAGTTAGTTCCTCAAACTCACAGGGCAGAACTTTAAATTCTCCTTAAACCAGTTGCTGTTGAATCTATTCCAATTCATGATGCCCCCATGTGTGTCTGAATAGTACTGTGCTCCATAAGATATTCGATGGCTGATTTTTCAGATGTAGATTATCAGACCTTTCCTCTGAGGGATCTCTGGATGAACTCAAGCCTTCACCTTTCAGTCAGCAGTCAAGCATGTTAATCATTTGCAATACTGGTAATACATTGGAGGCTTTGGGAGTTGGGGGTAGCAGTTCTCATAGCATTAACCACTGGCCTGTCCAGTGTGCTGAGGAAAAACTAAAGGAGAACCCACCTGTCAGTGAGATGAAAGTCATAGTAGAATGAGCACTGGAGAAGAGCTGGAAGGCTTGCCACCTCTCCTGATTCTTCCAATGACCTCCTGTAGAGTGACGTGCTCTCCCTGGACTGGACTCTTTGGTTAAATTTGGGAAAAAAAACATGAAGTGATTATGAATTTACTTCTCCCATCCCCAGAGCTTCCCTTAAGAATCATCCAGCTCTTGCTCAGTGAAGAAGAAAATGCCTCCGTCGCAGAGGTCAACGCCTCAGTGAGTACTCTAGCCAGGCTGGGCAGGGGAGGAGGATCTTGGTAAGTTCAGGGCAGAAGTTGAGCTATCTAAATTAATCCAGTTAGCCTCTTGTTCCAGGGGTTGCTGGTAGAGGAGGGGTTCAGGACATGGACCTCAGAAGGAGTTGAAAAATCAACTCACCATGAGCAGAGTCAAGGGTGGCCAAGTCATCCAGCCTTTCCTTCTGAGGGTCCCTCAAGATCTGCACTTCTTGGTATTATACGGAAACCATGCAATAAGCATATCATCGCCAGGAAGCCTTCCCTGGATTTTCAGAGAGAACTGAGGGCTTCCTCTCCTAGTCTCTCATGCCCTTGTCCCCATTTTAGTCACAAGCAACATAGGATAGTTGTTGAGGGTGTAGGCTCTAGAATCCTACACACCCACATTCTAATCCCTGCTCTACCACTTATTAGAAGTATGACCTTAGATAAATCATTTGATGTATCATCTGTAAAAATAGGACTAATAATATCTATTTTAATGGGTTGTGTCAAGGTGTAAATGATAATATAAGTAAAGCATTTAGCACAGTGTCAGGAATACAGTAAATATACAAAATAGTAGTAACAATGCAGTATTACTATTACATTTTATAAGAATATTGTTGCTACAGGCATACCTCAGAGACATTGTGGGTTCAGTTCCAGACCACCACCATAAAGCGAATAATGCAATAAAGCAAGTCATACAATTTTTTTGATTTCCCAGTGCATACAAAAGTTACATTTGCATTGTACCATACATAGTCTATTAAATAGGAAATAGCATTATTAAAAAGTCTGAACTATTGTGTAATTACTGAAATGTGATGCAGAGACACAAAGTGAGCACATGTTTATGAAAAAAATGATGCTGATAGAATTCCTCAATGCAAGGTTACCACAGACCTTCAATTGGTAAGAAACACAGTCTCTGTCTGGGAAGAGCAATAGAACAAAGTTCAATAAAATGAGATATGCCTATACTATTATGGCATTCCACAATCTATATGGCAATCTGTTGACATTTGTCACTTGCACCAGACTGTAGGTTCTTTGAGTATGAATTGTTTCTAAGGCATTTTGACATCCCTTGGCCCCGAAACCCCCTTACATCTGGTTAAACATAATAGATGCTTAATAACCATGTAGTGAGAGAAAGACTAGGTGAGTCAGAGATCTGAGATAAGGTAGGGGCTATTCGTTTCAGATTCCTCATGACCACAATTGAGTGTTCCGGAATACTCATACTTCACAATGTTGTCCATAGCTTGTCATGAGGAATCTGTACATGGACCAAGAGGCAGTTGTTTGAACAGAACATGAGAACGCTAAATGTTTTAAAATTAAGAAAAGTGTTCGGCAGGGTTGTATTCTCTCACCATACTTATTCAACCTGTATGCTGAGCAAATAATCTGTGAAGTTGGGTTGTATGAAGAAAAACATGGCATCAGGATTGGAGGAAGACTCATTAACAACCTGCGATATGCAGATGATACAACCTTGCTAGCTGAAAGTAAAGAGGACTTAAAATACTGATGAAGATCAAAGAGCACAGCCTTCGGTATGGATTGCACCTCAATGTAAAGAAAACAAAAATCCTCACCACTGAACCAATAAACAACATTCTTATCAATGGAGAAAAGATTGAAGTTGTCAAGGATTTCATTCTTCTTGGATCAACTATCAACGCTCACAGAAGCAGCAGTCAAGAAATCAAACAGCGTATTGCATTAGGCAAATCTGCTGCACAAGACCTTTTTAAAGTGTTGAAGAGCAAAGATGTCAGCTTGAGAACTAAGGTGCGCCTGACCCAAGCCATGGAATTTTCAGTAACCTCATATGCATGTGAAAGCTGGACAGTGAATAAGGAAGGCTGAAGAAGAATCGATGCTTTTGAGTTATGGTGTTGGAGGAGAATATTGAAAGTGCCATGGGCTGCCAAAAGAACCAACAGATCTGTGCTGGAAGAAGTGCAGCTAGAGTGCTCCTTGGAGTCCAGGATGGACAAACTTCGTGTCTCATACTTCGGACATCTTGTCAGGAGGGACCAGTCACTGGAGAAGGATATCATTTTGGTAAGGTGGAGGGTCAGAGAAAAAGAGGAAGATCCCCAGCGAGATGGATTGGCCAAGTGGCAGCATCAATGGACTCAAGTGTGTCAATGATTGTGAGGTTGGCCCAGGACCGGGCAGTGCAGTACTTCATTTTGTTGTGCATAGGGTCACTATGAGACAGTACCCACTCCTATAGTACCTAACAACAATTCGTTTCAAATTGTCCCCTTGTAATTTGAGGCAGCCCTAGGGCACAAAGGATCAAAAGTCCTTCACTCACCAGTAAATAATTATTAAACTAGGAGCCACACCGGACACTAGGGCATAGGGATGCTGAGATACATTATTACAGTGTGTAGGAATCTCAGAAGGGATTGGACTGACTCACTCCCATTACTCCCATTGTCTCCATCCCCCTTCTCCACCTTAGGTGGCATACAGACTGGGGACCCTGGATGTGCGGGCCTTTTTCCGGAACAGCCAGGTGGAAGCAAGGTAAATAGGATTGTCACTGCCTGGGCCCCGGGTCTCCCCTGTATCCGCCCCACTACTAACCCCTCACTATCTCCCTCCTGCACAGGAAGTCCTCTGCCCCAGCCTCAGGAAGCTCCCTGCACCGCTGGACTGTCATCTCTGAATTCCAGTACCGTCCTGGGGGCCCTGTCATTGACTTCCTTAACAACCAATTGCTGGATGCAGTGGTGGAAGCCTTCTTACCCCAAGCCCCCAGGAAGGGGTGGAGCAGGAGTGAGGGGCCCAGGCACAACGTCAGCTTCCATCCCATCTCCAGAAGAGACATACACAACCTGAAGCATGGTGAGTGCAGGGGCAACTGTGGGGGAGACCGCACGGATCTTTGGCCCACACAAACCCACGGCAGAAAATCTTTCTAGTGAGGTCCACAAATAACTACCATGTAAATGTCATTTTGCTGTTGTTGATCATTTTTGAGAGAAATTTTCAACATTTCATCCATGCAATTTACCATTCAATTCAACAGCAGGAGCACAAAATGTTATTTGAGGAGCACACATGAGGACAGTTTCGTAGAGCAATTATTCCAATTGAGTTCTTCCTAACTATCCCTGCTGATGGTTTTCTGAAAATAAACAAGGGCATGCCCCCTCCCTCTGTTTCGCAGGTGAAGGATAATAAGTTAAAGGCTAGAGACCTGGTCCAGGAGTTGAGCTAAAAACCTCACTACAAGAGTGTAACCCTGAATAAGTCCCTTCCTCAGTCTAAGCTCCTACATCCTTATCTGGAAAATGGGATAGTACCTCTGAGGCTTCTCTAACTCTGACAGCCTCTGAGTCTCCCCAATGGGGAGTGACATAAATTGGCAAGCTTGCCTGAGAGCAAGTAGAATAAAGCCCAAACCAAATCCACTGCTGTTAGGTTGATTCCGACTCACAGTCTCTGGAATGAGGTGGTGAACAGAGCAGTCATCATTCCAGACACAACAGAAGCTGCTGTTTTATTTTAGTCCAGGGCAAAGCAAGAGCTTCTAGTGTCCAGGGTAAGCCTTCTCCCTTCTAGGGGCAACCATGTGAAATCCTTCAGAATACTGCGTAGGTATATAGGGGGCAGTGGTGAAATAAGGAGTTGGGAGTACCAGTGTAAAGACATCGCCTCAGCCCTGACTAGGCCTTTTGTTAAAGAAAACAAACAAAAATACCTACAATTTTTATTTTATTATTTAAGTATT